ACGAGATAAAAGCGAGCGGCTCCGCGCGATCAGTTACCGCCATGAAATATTTAATTAAAGCGGCGATAATTGGCGCCGAAATCGACGACATAAATATTTAACTGTATCGTTGTGCTCTTAATAATTATAATTTGACGCATTTGTCTCATTTTGAATAACACGCGCGTTCTACTAACTTGGCTTAATGATAATTTAATTATTGTACTGCGTTCTGAGCGTTCTTGGAGCGAAAATTAAAATGTGATTTGTGCCAAAAAGTACAAATTCGGGGCCAATTTTTGAGACTACTGAGAGTAAAAAAAAAATAGTTTGCTCAGATTCGAGGTGTGGAAATGCTCCGTTCAATCAAAAAATATTAAATAAAATATAACGCAATGTTTTGCATAAAATATCCTCGAGCAATTCTCGTTCAAGATATATACATTTTCACATAAATAAATGCATTTTACGTAATTAAATCTGATTGATTTTATTTACAGATATTACACAATTTAGAAAAATGCAAATGATACGCAAAAACATTTTTGATATTTGCCGAAAAGATATTTGCCGAAGAAATTAACTTTAAGAATTTTCGGAACGTTAGGAACTTTTGGTAGCATCACACAAACGCCTTCCTTTTTAAAATTTATATTTCGTCTAGTTACGTAGGTTATAAATGTTTAAAATGTTAAAATTATCTGGATGATTCACAAATTTTTTAAATCATGCTTCATAACTCTTCATACAAAATACAAACAATTCGATACAAAAAATTTGTATAATTTATTTATTTCGGTTAAACGCATGGCAAAAAATTAATTAATTATGTACAATTAATTGAAAGACTCACAAACCTTTTTAAATGCACTTTAAAAATTTTAATTTCAAATACAAACATATGGGTTTCTTAAAAAGACAATGTTCGATAAAAAGTCAATGTTCGATCAAGTACGTTACATACGATCGTATTTTGTTTATTACAGTAAATTGTGATATGTATCTAAAACAAGGTACACCGCATTTTGGGATATATCCATCAGGTTCCTCTTACTGTCGGATATGTCTCTATCATTTTGCTTGAATGTACAACTAAACGTTTTATTATAGTTTACATATCCTGTAATTTCCGTATATTAAATACGTTTAACGACTTTGCTTCTTGTGCTAGTGAGGTAAGTGCATCATCGGACTTGCCCCGCTTAATGATGTCTTCCAAGTCTCTGTTTTGATCTGATACCTTAACAAACAAAATGTAGAATAACATTTTTTTATTTTCGACTTAGTTTTCAAGAAAAATCGAATTTGAAGATTCGCGACGTACGCATACTGTTACAGTCAACAAAATACGATTCGTCGAACGCCGTTTAAAGCGTAACGTGTTTATAAACAATGTCTATACAGCATTTAAAAATTACTGAGTTTAAGAAAAAACACAAAAAAAAAATATTTCCATCACGTCGAAGAATCACGTCGTGCTTATACATATTATTAATTTGGACACTGTATATGTATGTACGCACAATTTTTTAAATAATAAAAGATTTAAAGATTTAAAAGAGTAAAAATGATTTAAAGATAAAGTTAGGAAAAACAGTTCAAGTATTATATTTATGTGTATAAATGTAAGAAACACAAGTTTTTTTAAATTCTAAATTTGTCCTTTAGGCAATAATAAGCAACTTCATGT